AGGCAGATTCGGTCCATCTTCTCAAGGATGAGTGTCTTTTGATGTAGAATGTCTTTTGATGTGGAGAAGTACAGTCTTGGCAGAATTAATCCCCTTATCTGGTAAATTGTAGCTGTTGTCTTTTCCCTCCTTATCTAGTAAGTTATAGCTGTTGTTCTTTACCCTCCTTAGCTAGTAAGTTATAGCCGTTGCCCTTTTCCCGTGACCTTTACGCACCATTTAAGCAGGCCTTGTTATTTACACAAGGCATCTGCTAAATCTCAATATGTCTCTTCCCCCTTCCCGATTGGTATGTAAGCCTTATTGTCTTCTTTTAATTCAACACGAATTACACAATGTCAGGGAACAATTTGGTTCCCTGTCGATTACAGTCCCCCGTTTTTCCTCTTTTTTTTTTTTGGTACCAGTATTAATTCGTGTTTCCAACCTAATAAGAGTCCTTTTAATTGGAGTATACTCGTGGTTTTAGATAAGTGAAGAACGTCCCTACCCCCACGTGAGATTTCATGAACAAAGTTAACCCCATTCATTACAATCCCCCCTTTTCTATTTTATCCTGATTTTGTTCATTAAATCGATCCAATGCTTCTTTTGCCCGCCCGAGGATAGGAGTAATTCCTCCGTCCCCGATTTGTTCATATTGCTTTTGTAGTAGCATTAAATGTGCAGCTTCCAAGCGCCCTTTAACAATAGCGATCAACTTATTAAAAATGCATGGCCCAAAAGTCAAAAATGAGATCAACAAAATAAGAGGTCCTGCAATAGTTGACAATAGGGTGGTTAAGCAGGGTGAATAATTAAACATAGACTCATACCAGCTCTGTTGTGCTTCCCAGTCTTTTTTTTGTTTTTCTAACCCCTCCCGTAGCTTGGCCATTGTATCTCTAAGTACTCCAGTATGGTCAACATATACACAACACTCCTCCCGTAGGGCTGCACATAACCCCCCCCTGCTGCATGAACATTAGGTCTAAGCCCCGTCTGTTTTGTAATACTACTTCTGATAAAGACCTAACAGACTGTTCTAGGGCTGTCATGGCCTTTTCTATCCTAGCCAAATCCTCGTTGACTGCTACCCTTAAGGACTGAAATTTTTGATTTTGTTGTACGAGGGAGGTTATTC